CGATTTCGTCTTCAAATCAATGGACGGAGTGATCTTCCACTTTCCGCGTTTTCTCCTGCTGCACGTCTCTCCAGTTTTCAAAGACATGTTTGCGGCCGGCGAAAGCGCCCCAAACCAAGAAACGATGGTCCTCACCGAAGATTGTGCAACCTTGGAATACTTTCTTCGTCACATAGATCCAGCAAAGGAAACTCCACAACTGGACTGGGACCGCGTCGCCGGTGCGTTGCAAGCCGCAGAAAAGTACCAAGTCAACAACATCTTCAAGTGGTTCGAACGAGAAGTAGACTTGTCGCTAACTTTCGACCGATCTCGTGTACTGCCCAATCCGATGCTATGTCTCGCGTTGGCTCGACGCTATGACCTACAAATGACGGCCAGAATATCGCTTCGTCAGCTCATCAAATGCCGCATTGAGGAAATCACGGGAAGTCCTCATGTAGATAGTGCATTATTGAAGCAGATATTCAGCATGCGTACTAAAAGAATGCGAGCTTTGTTGAAAATAATTCTCGAATGTCCAGAGCATCCGCACAAGCACACCTCGCAATGCGTTTACGCGAGTTCTCGTATTTCTTACGCCGGATGGAGACATGATGCGCTCGAGCGGATAATTTCGGAGCCAAGTTTGTTCGCAATCCTTGCTTCTATCCGCGGTCGAGGGGTACATTGTAACTGCATCCCCCTAGAAGGAACAGAACAGAAAGAGAAAGTAGAGAAGATGGAAGCTGAACTGCCTAAACTCTCGGATCTGGGTTGGTGATGGAGAAAAGGAACTCGGTGGGCGAATCGGTCATGGGTTATCAGCTTAAACAAGGTGGAAAGTGCGTATATGACACTCTATTAGCATTGTAATACTGGAATAAGCCGGTTAAGTGATTCTCTAGTATTAATCTAATTTAACCGGTGCTCATCCTTATCTCTGATCACTTCGTAACAGTCATGTCTGGAATACATTCCTATGAGAGATTTATCTTGACCCTACTAAGAATTTTGTCGAAATCA